CACTTTTTATTCTTTATGCTCAATTAGTATTAAGTTCTAGATATTAATGTTTTTCTTGCCCGAAACGCATTGCGTAATAGTGGCTTTAGGCATTGTATGTACTAGCTCTATCTATATATCAATCCATTAATGTAACATCACTTGTATGTATATACCTTACCTGAATAAACATCTGAATCTGAATCTGTATCCTCTTATAGTCCCCTTTCCTGTAGTCAACTCTCCTTTCCCAGATCTCTTGTCCCATGGTCATAAGTTTGAATTCCATCATGTAGTCAAAGACTAGGACACAATGGTCACTGGCCTCTAGAGGTATTTCATGCTCTAAATTCTCGATATCTTCTACGTTCTGGGTGAAAATCAGGTCTAATAGGCTAGGTGCATCTCCTCTTTCCCTTGTGTCTTCCTTCACATGTTGTGTTAGGAAATTCCTGTCTATAACATCTACTAATTTTGCTCCCCACGTTTCGTCCCCTCCATGGGGATTCCTTGATTCCCAATTTATCTCTCCACGTTTAGGTCACCCATGATCAGCAGCTTCGCTCTCATTCTTTGGGCTAGTGTTGCTGCCTTCTGCAGTTCATCTATACATGCTTTCTTGTTGTCATCATACTCCTGCCTGGGTCTTCTACTGTTTGGTGGAAGATTGTAGATTACCAAGATCACAATTTTCCTCCCATCTACTGTCAGAGTTCCATGGATGAAGCTTGTGCACTCATTGGTAACCCGATTTCCCAGGTCTTCAAACTTCCATTTCCGCTTTATTATGAGTGCCACTTCCCCTCCCTGTCTCTGTGTCCTCTCTTTTCGTATCACCTGGTACCCTTCAGGAAAGATTGCATCTGAGATCATGTCATTAATTTTAGTTTCCACAATTGCAACTATGTCAGGATCTGCTTCACTCACTCTTTCTTTTATCTCTTCTGCTTTATTAGATACCCCATCAGCATTGGTGTACCAAACCTTGAGATTCTTCATGGAAACTCTTGTACCAGAGTTCTCCCTTTCTCTGGGGGTCTGGGGGATCTGGGGGGTGTCTGGGGGGTGACTGGGGGCAGGGGGGATCTGGGGGATCTGGGGGGTGTCTGGGGGATGACTGGGGGCGGGGAGGATCCGGGGGGATCCGGGGGTGTCTGGGGGGGTCCGGGGGGTGTATAGGGGGTGAAAGAGATCAGGAGGGGTGCTTAGGGGGGCTAATGGGGGCTGGGCTTCTAGGAAGGTAGGTAGGAGGGTCTGGGGTAGGGCCTGGGTAGGTAGGTCTGGAGTAGGAAGGGCATACTGGGTCTGAAGATTAGGGAGGGTCTGATAGGCATAAAGGGGTTGGGAGATAGCGTAAGGTTGGGAGATAGCATAAGGTTGGGAGTCAGATAGAGGTTGAGAGGTTGGGAGGGGGAAGGATAGAGGGGGTGGGGGGAACCTCCCACCCCCCTCGCAAGGGTGGAGGGTCACATGGACGGAGAGGGGATGAGAAGGGGTGAGGGCTGGGTAGGTTTTGGGGATTGAGGGGATGAGGGCTGGGTGGGTTTTGGGGGTTGAGGGGATGAGGGCTGGACGGGTTTTGGGGGTTGAGGTGATGAGGGGGTCCTTGGAATGTGAGATGAATTTGACTGCAGTGGGGTCAGAGGGGTCAAGGGAGGTGCTAGGGAGATAAGCAGGGGCAGAGAGGGCTGATTTGGGGAGGGAGTGACCTGAGAAGGCGTGAACTGGTTAGCATGGGGTGGATTAGCATTGGGGTGTGTAGCTACGCTCAAATGGGAAGAGTTGTATTGTTGTTTGCTTGCTCTGTGGGCTATCTGCTCCTCTTTGTCATGAATTTGTCAATATATACGTTGTAGTAATTTTTGCTACCTCTGAGTAAGTGTTTGTGATGCAGTATGTAATCCACTGCCTCTTCGTTAGTGAACTGTACCAGGACAGGTCGTTTCCTGTTACAGTTGTATGGCCCAATGCGTCGTTGGACTTGCACCTCATTCCCTGCCATCTGGGCTCTCATGTCTCTCAAGATCCCCTGTAACTCCAAATCCTCAATCTCCATCCTTTCCTGCCTCGATGGTGCCCTGGCTTCAAGCAATCCATGGATTATGATTGTCCTCTTTCTCAGTTCAGGGTCATGCTGGTGGCCCCTTCCCTGGCTGACCCCCACCCCTCCCACTCCTCCACCTACTACTACTCCCCCTTCCCCTGCCAAGCTTCCCTTATTCCTGCCAAATTCATTAGTAAGCCTAGATATTTCTCCTTGCCATTCTACCCTGCTCTTCCTGATTTTCTCTTGAATATAATCCATAAACTCTTGTTTGAGTCTTTGAACCTCGTCCTGTATCTTATTAAAGACTTCACTTTTAATCCCCTGGATTAGATCATCTATCCAAACATCCCTCTTCTCTACAAATTTCCCAATCATCTTCTCCACAAACCTATCTTCTTCTTTAATTATAATACTGCTGGACCTAGACGCCCTTCCTGACCTAGTCATTGCTATACTGCAACCTTACCCACAGGGGTTCCAAGTATCTTACCGTCCTGCTAACACAATAGGTGAGTGAATCTCCAAGCGTCGTCCCACATGGTGGTAGGAGGGTTGCTGCCGGGGGTGAGGTCACGGTCAGAGGTCGGTGAGGTCTGCTCCCCACTGCCACAGTACTTCATCAACTATTTTCAATTACTCTACTTAAACTGTTTTTCTTCACTACCTTATGGCTTTGGTCAAAACCCAAGGTTTTTTCATTCACTTGTACACACTTTTTCACTTCGAAGTTGCCTGATTACCCCTCCCACTCCACTAGTGAACCAAGAGCTCCCAACCCTCGTCCACCCAACACGATGGTCACAACACAAGTGACCAGTGTGTGTGTGTGGGGGGGGGGAGAGAGTGAGATGGGGGTTAAGAGTGTAACGGTTCTATTGTTACGTAAAGTATGGTGACAATAAACACAGACACTAAGATACTATATATATATTTGGTCGAATATACAGAAGTACACAGGTGATACTTTGGTGTGAGTTGAGCGCACTGAGAGTCGATACAGTATCTCGCAAGTGTCTGCTCTAGACCACACTTGAAAGTAGACTAGTTAATGTTTGCTATTCTGCTGCTTATATGCTCGGGCAACACCTCACCGTGTTGCCCGGGCAACGCCTCACCTCATTCATTTCCAAAGGTTGACAGGAATATTAACAATGCATTTGGAGCGAGTATATTATTGGGATAATCTACTCGCTACAGAACTCCCCCTCCCAGGGGATGAAAGGAAAAATACTTGATCAAGGAACTTAGCTGGTCGGTGAATTGTACGCCCTGCTCGCGTTACATAACCATCAAAGTTAACTTCCTCCTCTTCGCTGATGTCATCTAACTGGGGTCGTAGGGTGGGAGGTCGCACAGGATCGTCCGTCGTCGCAGGATCAGGTTGTGGTGCGGCTGGTAACTGGGGTTGTAGGGTGGGAGGTCGTACAGGATCGTCCGTTGTCGTAGGTGGCGGTGCTGCTGGTAACCGAAACGCTTTGCGTACTAGTGGCTTTAGGCATTTTTTTTTTTTTTTTTTTTGAGATATATACAAGAGTTGTTACATTCTTGTACAGCCACTAGTACGCGTAGCGTTTCGGGCAGGTCCCTGGAATACGATCCCCTGCCGCGAAGAATCGTTTTTTCATCCAAGTACACATTTTACTGTTGCGTTAAACAGAGGCTACAGTTAAGGAATTTCGCCCAGTAAATCCTCCCAGGCCAGGATACGAACCCATGACGTTGGACATAGCGCTCGCGGAACGCCAGGCGAGTGTCTTACCACTACACCACGGAGACTGCAAACTGCATTGACTGCATTGTATATATGTACTATAGCTCTATCTATAAATCCATCAATGTTTGTATCTCACTTTTGTATGTATGTACTTTACCTGAATAAACATTTGAATTCTGAAAAGGTATTGTATGTACTAGCTGTCTATAAATCCAACAGTATGTTTGTAACTATGTATGTACTTTTCCTGAATAAAATATTATTATTATTATTATTATTGTTATTATTATTATTAATAATATTATTATTATTATTATTGTTGTTATTTATTATTCATTATTATTATTATAATTATTATTTTTATTACTGTATTATTATTATTATTATATTATTATTATTATTATTATTATTATTATTATTATTATTATTATTGTTATTATTATTATTATTATTATTATTATTATTATTATTCATTATTATTATTATTATTATTATTATTATTATTATTATTATTATTACTATTATTATAGTTGCTACAGACAACGTTGATAACGCTGATTCAGTGCTGAGTCAACGTTACACTTGGATATTGTGCTAGTGTCCATTGCTGGCTGTACCTAAGCCTGTTAATCAAATTAAAACATTATTCTAGGTAAGTAGTCTATTTATGAGTGGTGGCTACCATCCATGGAAGTGATGGACATATACTAGTCACGCAAGAATTTGACTTTCAGTTTTATTAAAGTACATTGTCTAAGTTAGATATAAAATTGTTGATATTGCACATATACAGTACTGTATTTTCATATGTAAAGAACAAGAATTCGTTCAGACTCTTGATTTATTCCCGCATACAGTGAGAATATTATATATATTTATACATATTCCGGCAGGTATAACTGAAATTATATATTATACAAAGTAGCTTGCATATGATAAAACGAGAATGAGGAGGGTGTTCGTTATATTAGACATTGAAATGAGTGCAGGAGTTTGTAGTAAAGTGAGACGGACTGCATATCATCGATTACCAAAGTATTTAATATTTGTGAAGTAGTGATGGCTCCCGCCTGGTCGCTTGAGGTCCGGCTGCCCTCGCCACACATGCCTGAATATACTTAAATTAAAAAGACAAACAAACACGCTTAACACTAAACAAATTATATTAATACTATAAAAACGTATTTTTTATATTTATATCTTGCACTGTTATGCATGTGAGCGGTATATTGGTAAAATGATGGTGTGTAGTGCGGTTGGAGGCGGAGTGTATGAGAGAGTGTGTTGGACAGCTGGTTGGGTGTGTGTGTTGCTAACGGTAGCTCCCTTGGCCACTAATTTGCTCTCTAGGGGCACTGCACTCGCTCTCAACTCCCTCTAAAGCTTGCCCAGGTCAAGGTAAGTTGCTCCTGGTGTTTATGTTCTCGTAAAGTATAAGGTAGGACTGAGATAGGGCGTGAGTGGGGGCTGTGTGGTGGGCTGCACCCCCGGCTTGTACCAGGGGAGCCTTGCGAGAGCTACAAGAGTGTGGCTGTGTGTAGGGAGTGTGGCTGGGTGTAAGGAGTGTGGCTGGGTGTAGGGAGTGTGGCTGGGTGTAGGGAGTGTGGCTGGGTGTAGGGAGTGTGGCTGGGTGTAGGGAGTGTGGCTGGGTGTAGGGAGTGTGGCTGGGTGTAGGGAGTGTGGCTGGGTGTAGGGAGTGTGGCTGGGTGTAAGGAGTGTGGCTAGGTGTAGGGAGTGTGGCTAGGTGTAGGGAGTGTGGCTAGGTGTAGGGAGTGTGGCTGGGTGTAGGGAGTGTGACTGGGTGTAAGGAGTGTGGCTGGGTGTAGGGAGTGTGGCTAGGTGTAGGGAGTGTGGCTAAGTGTAGGGACTGTGGCTAGGTGTAGGGAGTGTGGCTGGGTGTAGGGAGTGTGGCTAGGTGTAGGGAGTGTGGCTGGGTGTAGGGAGTGTGGCTGGGTGTAGGGAGTGTGGCTGGGTGTAGGGAGTGTGGCTGGGTGTAGGGAGTGTGGCTGGGTGTAGGGAGTGTGGCTGGGTGTAGGGAGTGTGGCTGGGTGTAGGGAGTGTGGCTGGGTGTAGGGAGTGTGGCTGGGTGTAGGGAGTGTGGCTGGGTGCAGGGAGTGTGGCTGGGTGTAGGGAGTGTGGCTGGGTGTAGGGAGTGTGGCTGGGTGTAGGGAGTGTGGCTGGGTGTGGGGAGTGTGGCTGGGTATAGGGAGTGTGGCTAGGTGTAGGGAGTGTGGCTGGGTGTGGGGAGTGTGGCTGGGTGTGGGGAGTGTGGCTGGGTGTGGGGAGTGTGACTGGGTGTAAGGAGTGTGGCTGGGTGTGGGGAGTGTGGCTGGGTGTCGGGAGTGTGGCTGGGTGTAGGGAGTGTGGCTGGGTGTAGGGAGTGTGGCTGGGTGTAGGGAGTGTGGCTGGGTGTAAGGAGTGTGGCTGGGTGTAAGGAGTGTGGCTGGGTGTAAGGAGTGTGGCTGGGTGTAAGGAGTGTGGCTGGGTGTAAGGAGTGTGGCTGGGTGTAGGGAGTGTGGCTAGGTGTGGGGAGTGTGGCTGGGTGTAAGGAGTGTGGCTGGGTGTAGGGAGTGTGGCTGGGTGTGGGGAGTGTGGCTGGGTGTAGGGAGTGTGGCTGGGTGTAGGGAGTGTGGCTGGGTGTAGGGAGTGTGGCTGGGTGTAGGGAGTGTGGCTGGGTGTGGGGAGTGTGGCTGGGTGTAGGGAGTGTGGCTGGGTGTAGGGAGTGTGGCTGGGTGTAGGGAGTGTGGCTGGGTGTAGGGAGTGTGGCTGGGTGTAGGGAGTGTGGCTGGGTGTAAGGAGTGTGGCTGGGTGTAGGGAGTGTGGCTGGGTGTAGGGAGTGTGGCTGGGTGTAGGGGTGTGGGGAGGGTGTGGCTGGGTGTAGTGTGGCTGGGTGGGAGTGTGGCTGGGTGTAGGGAGTGTGGAGGTGTGAGGGAGTGTGGCTGGGTGTAAGGAGTGTGGCTGGGTGTAGGGAGTGTGGCTGGGTGTAGGGAGTGTGGCTGGGTGTGGGGAGTGTGGCTGGGTGTAGGGAGTGGAGTGTAGGGTGTGGCTGTAGGGAGGTGGTGTAGGGAGTGTGGGGTGTAGGGAGTGTGGCTGGGTGTAGGGAGTGTGGCTAGGGAGGTGTAGGGAGTGTGGCTGGGTGTAGGGAGTGTGGCTGGGTGTAGGGGAGTGTGGCTGGGTGTAGGGAGTGTGGCTGGGTGTAGGGAGTGTGGCTGGGTGTAGGGAGTGTGGCTGGGTGTAGGGGAGTGTGGCTGGGTGTAGGGAGTGTGGCTGGGTGTAGGGAGTGTGGCTGGGTGTAGGGAGAGTGGTGGGTGTAGGGAGTGTGGCTGGGTGTAGGAGTGTGGCTGGGTGTAGGGAGTGTGGCTGGGTGTAGGGAGTGTGGCTGGGTGTAGGGAGTGTGGCTGGGTGTAGGGAGTGTGGCTGGGTGTAGGGAGTGTGGTGGGTGTAGGGAGTGTGGCTGGGTGTAGGGAGTGTGGCTGGGTGTAGGGAGTGTGGTGGGTGGGGTGTGGCTGGGTGTAGGGAGTGTGGCTGGGTGTAGGGAGTGTGGCTGGGTGTAGGGAGTGTGGCTGGGTGTAGGGAGTGTGGCTGGGTGTAGGGAGTGTGGCTGGGTGTAGGGAGTGTGGCTGGGTGTAAGGAGGTGGTGGGTGTAGGGAGTGTGGCTGGGTGTAGGGGAGTGTGGCTGGGTGTAGGGAGTGTGGCTGGGTGTAGGGAGTGTGGCTGGGTGTAGGGAGTGTGGCTGGGTGTAGGGAGTGTGGCTGGGTGTAGGGAGTGTGGCTGGGTGTAGGGAGTGTGGCTGGGTGTAGGGAGTGTGGCTGGGTGTAGGGAGTGTGGGTGTAGGGAGTGTGGTGGGTGTAGGGAGTGTGCTGGGTGTAGGGAGTGTGGCTGGGTGTAGTGTGGCTGGGTGTAGGGGAGTGTGGCTGGGTGTAGGGAGTGTGGCTGGGTGTAGGGAGTGTGGCTGGGTGTAGGGAGTGTGGCTGGGTGTAGGGAGTGTGGCTGGGTGTGTGGGAGTGTGGCTGGGTGTAGGGAGTGTGGCTGGGTGTAGGGAGTGTGGCTGTAGGGAGTGTGGTGTAGGGAGTGTGGCTGGGTGTGGGGAGTGTGGCTGGGTGTGGGGAGTGTGGCTGGGTGTAGGGAGTGTGGCTGGGTGTAGGGAGTGTGGCTGGGTGTAGGGAGTGTGGCTGGGTGTAGGGAGTGTGGCTGGGTGTGGGGGAGTGTGGCTGGGTGTAGGGAGTGTGGCTGGGTGTGGGGAGTGTGGCTGGGTGTAGGGAGTGTGGCTGGGTGTGGGGAGTGTGGCTGGGTGTAGGGAGTGTGGCTGGGTGTGGGGAGTGTGGCTGGGTGTGGGGAGTGTGGCTGGGTGTGGGGGGAGTGTGGCTGGGTGTGGGGAGTGTGGCTGGGTGTGGGGAGTGTGGCTGGGTGTAGGGGAGTGTGGCTGGGTGTAGGGAGTGTGGCTGGGTGTGGGGAGTGTGGCTGGGTGTGGGGAGTGTGGCTGGGTGTGGGGAGTGTGGCTGGGTGTGGGGAGTGTGGCTGGGTGTGGGGAGTGTGGCTGGGTGTGGGGAGTGTGGCTGGGTGTGGGGGTGGGGAGTGGGTGAGTGTGGCTGGGTGTGGGGAGTGTGGCTGGGTGTGGGGAGTGTGGCTGGGTGTGGGGAGTGTGGCTGGGTGTGGTGTGGAGTGTGGCTGGGTGTGGGGAGTGTGGCTGGGTGTGGGGAGTGTGGCTGGGTGTGGGGAGTGTGGCTGGGTGTGGGGAGTGTGGCTGGGTGTGTAGGGAGTGTGGCTGGGTGTGGGGAGTGTGGCTGGGCTGGGTGTAGGGAGTGTGGCTGGGTGTGGGGAGTGTGGCTGGGTGTGGGGAGTGTGGCTGGGTGTGGGAGTGTGGCTGGGTGTGGGGAGTGTGGCTGGGTGTGGGGAGTGGTGTGGGGAGTGTGGCTGGCTGTGGGGGTGTGGCTGGGGAGGGAGTGTGGCTGGGTGTGGGGAGTGTGGCTGGGTGTGGGGAGTGTGAGTGTGGCTGGGTGTGGGGAGTGTGGCTGGGTGTGGGGAGTGTGGCTGGGTGTGGGGAGTGTGGCTGGGTGTGGGGAGTGTGGCTGGGTGTGGGGAGTGTGGCTGGGTGTGGGGAGTGTGGCTGGGTGTGGGGAGTGTGGCTGGGTGTGGCTGGGTGTGGCTGGGTGTGGGGAGTGTGGCTGGGTGTGGGGAGTGTGGCTGGGTGTGGGGAGTGTGGCTGGGTGTTTGGAGTGTGGCTGGGTGTGGGGAGTGTGGCTGGGTGTGGGGAGTGTGGCTGGGTGTGGGGAGTGTGGTGTGGGGGTGTGGGGAGTGTGGCTGGGTGTGGGGAGTGTGGCTGGGTGTGGGGAGTGTGGCTGGGTGTGGGGAGTGTGGCTGGGTGTGGGGAGTGTGGCTGGGTGTGGGGAGTGTGGCTGGGTGTGGGGAGTGTGGCTGGGTGTGGGGAGTGTGGCTGGGTGTGGGGAGTGTGGCTGGGTGTAGGGAGTGTGGCTGGGTGTAGGGAGTGTGGCTGGGTGTAGGGAGTGTGGCTGGGTGTAGGGAGTGTGGCTGGGTGTAGGGAGTGTGGCTGGGTGTAGGGAGTGTGGCTGGGTGTAGGGAGTGTGGCTGGGTGTGGGGAGTGTGGCTGGGTGTGGGGAGTGTGGCTGGGTGTGGGGAGTGTGGCTGGGTGTGGGGAGTGTGGCTGGGTGTGGGGAGTGTGGTGTGGCTGGGTGTGGCTGGGTGTGGGGAGTGTGGCTGGGTGTGGGGAGTGTGGCTGGGTGTGGGGAGTGTGGCTGGGTGTGGGGAGTGTGGCTGGGTGCGGGGAGTGTGGCTGGGTGCGGGGAGTGTGGCTGGGTGCGGGGAGTGTGGCTGGGTGCGGGGAGTGTGGCTGGGTGCGGGGAGTGTGGCTGGGTGCGGGGAGTGTGGCTGGGTGCTGGGTGCGGGGAGTGTGGCTGGGTGCGGGGAGTGTGGCTGGGTGCGGGGAGTGTGGCTGGGTGCGGGGAGTGTGGCTGGGTGCGGGGAGTGTGGCTGGGTGCGGGGAGTGTGGCTGGGGCGGGGAGTGTGGCTGGGTGCGGGGAGTGTGGCTGGGTGCGGGGAGTGTGGCTGGGTGCGGGGAGTGTGGCTGGGTGCGGGGAGTGTGGCTGGGTGCGGGGAGTGTGGCTGGGTGCGGGGAGTGTGGCTGGGTGCGGGGAGTGTGGCTGGGTGCGGGGAGTGTGGCTGGGTGCGGGGAGTGTGGCTGGGTGCGGGGAGTGTGGCTGGGTGCGGGGAGTGTGGCTGGGTGCGGGGAGTGTGGCTGGGTGCAGGGAGTGTGGCTGGGTGCAGGGAGTGTGGCTGGGTGTAGGGAGTGTGGCTGGGTGTAGGGAGTGTGGCTGGGTGTGGGGAGTGTGGCTGGGTGTGGGGAGTGTGGCTGGGTGTGGGGAGTGTGGCTGGGTGTGGGG